TCACTCACTCACTCACTCACTCACTCATCCATTGACCCGTCTATAACATACCCCGACGCACCGACTAAGAGGTAGTTTTTTTACAAAAAATAACTCAATAAATGAACCGCGCGGAATTTAATTTCATTTTTCATTCGGCAAAATCACAACGTAGGTATTTACTCATTCGGTTAGAGTTAAATACGTCGTTTGTTCGCCTACAAAGGTGGTTTTGAATTTCATTGAATTACTCCCATCGACAGTTTGACGGTCATTCCATTCTCTTGCGGCGAAAAAAATTACGAAGAACTTGACATCAACAACGACTGAGTGCTGAATACCTTGATTAAGCAGCTTATATTTTTCGAGCGGCAAAATCACAAAGGAGACATTGCTGCCTTCTTGTAGAGTTTGATACGTCCAGTGTTTGGCCAAGAGACTAACTTTGAATTTGATTGAATTCATCCAATCGACAGTTTGATGGTAATTCGGTTCTCTTGCTGTGAGAAATTTTATGAAGAACTTGACAACTGCGACATCAGTCGCGCGTTTGCAAAAATCCAACGGCTTTCGTCTTAAAACTATTCTAGCGGTAAGTCCAATTTTCGGCCAAGAAACTGGCTTCTCATTTAGCTGAATGCATCCCGTCGATAATTTGACGGTTACTTAATTCTAATTCTAAAAAATATTAGGATTCATCCACTACAGTCGTTAAAAATCATTTTATTAAAGATTACAAATACTATTCTTAACACTCGATTCAGCGTGATAAGAAAATCATTCGCTGTCTGGAATTTGTTGGAGATCAGAGTCCTGATCTTTCCCATCTGCCGGGCCTGTACTATTTGATTATTTTTCTAACAACGAATGATGTTCAAAGGTTCTTTATTGGAGCGTGCACTTGGTGCTTTTACCATGACAACAAACAAACAATTACCGATGGTCATGAGGCAGTAGACTGCCGAACCGGAAATTGCAAGTTATTAAACTTAAATAAATAGGAGTAGGGACGAATTAATGTTCTGCCAGTTCGCGGCTGTCTGACTTCAGATATTAGACACACTGTAAAATAATAAAAGAAAAGACATCATTAATTAAGATTTGTTTAGTGGCACGATAAGAGATATATGTAAAGTTGTATTGCTAAGTTGAAGTTGAGGTCGATGCCGTACACGTTGTTATGATGCAACTTACGAGAAAAAACTGAAACCGCCATGTCAAACCGGAAAATATTTGATGGATTTTATTATATTGCAGGCTCGCTGCTGTTGAGGTTACAAACAATTATTGGATGAGGTTTTTGTGATATCCGGAATAATCAAGGTCGAGGTACGTAACACTAACCGAGACCTTGATTATTTCGGATATCACAAAAACCGAATCTCATAACTGTTTTATTATACATTGTTTTAAAGAAAATAACGACAAAAGCATTATCGCACCGAACGCAGTTTATTTTCGACAAGCCATGTTCTTACGGGAACTTGACATTGCTGTTGGAAATCATGCATTGCGCGCGCAACCTACGGATTATGATTTGCTAACAGATTGTTGAATTATCTGTAGGTTGCGCTGTTTCCCAGAATTAACTGTAGGCTTTTAGCCAATGAGAAGACAGATAGTGACTACAATGTATAATAATATAGTTTCAATGCGTGCTGGAGTTGAATACAGAATAATTTTGGAGGTTCCCTAGGGGTGAGCCACAATATAGTACGCATTTACGGAGTTTTACCCACATTACAAAACTTCACTCCAAAGAAAAACTCACTTTCTAGCCTTTTTCTTTGAGCTCACTTTCTTCTCAAGTCTTTCCCACCGTCGGATCTTTCTTAACGTTTCTTCACTCCAGGCCTCTATCAAGCTAGTCGATGACAGGAGCAGTTTTTGTTTCGACGTATTCTCGTGGCCGCAAATCAAGAACACCTTTCCGGTCACGAGGGAGGAGCAGGTTAGGTCAGCGTTGCTCCAGATCTTCACGCGACCTTTGCTGATTGTAACGTTGTTTTGTCTGAAGACTCTGGAAACCCGTCCGCGGATTATAATGTCGTGGTTCTCGAGTCTTTCTATTAAAATGGCTTTGAATTTGATAACTGAAAAATAAAGTTATGTGCAATCAGAACTTTTATTAAAGGGGTCAAAAAGAATTCCTTGGGAATTGTTACCCCCGTTGGGATTTAACGCGGGTGATAGACCCATTTCAGTGATTCCCAATCTGGAGGACAAAATAATGGCTGTTCTCTCCCCTGAGAGAAACAAACCTTTCAAATGCAAGACAATCTTATTGTTTTGTCCTCTAGCTTGGGAATTAACTGAAAGGGGTCAATACCCCAGAGAAAAAGACAGAGAGATCAAGGGCTACAGTTTCAATTGAGACGCAATTTTTAAATTGCGTGTCCCTTGCATTTCCTATATATCGTAAGGCAAAAAACGTCTACTCGAGTATGAAGTTTTCGGTTACATGCATAGATCAAATATTCTTGGCAAACTCCCCAATGACCCTGCAGTTAGACTTATTATCGACGCTAAAATACGAAGAAATTATCCTGTCTCGTTAACAAAACTCATGACAGACAGCGACGGAAATTGAAACTAAAAAGGCAGAGCTGATTTTTCTCGAAAACTCTTTGTTTTTTTTGTTTTTGTTTTCCCCAGTTACAGTGTATCTGCTCTGGGGTTTACGCATTAACCGAGAGTGAGGTTTGAAATTTGACTGAACGTTCGAGGGTAATAAGTTGTTTAATATATGGCTGTTTGCTCTGTCTTTGCAAGCCCGTAATCGGCCCGTGGACATCATGGGAGAATAATACCCTACAGTTAGCCAATCAGAGCGCGCGTTAGATCGGCTACAAACACAAGCCATCCGGTATACCAAGTAATACATATTTACCTTGGAAGTACCTTTATTAAGGACCTCTTCGTATGAGCCCGGTAACCGGCAGTCTCGGTTACGGGGACGAATTTTGTTGTCTGTTCATATGGGAAATTTCTGCCCGGTCGACCGGGATTAAATTCAAGAAACAAAACCAAAATGGTAGAATATAAACTTGTATCTTCGCGACTATCGCAGCTTTGTTGACTCTTGTTACTTTACTTATACAGCTAATTCGCACACTTCTGAAGTGGAAACACATCCGCGACAAAAATCACGCCATTTTGGCAGCAATGATGCGCTAGCGAAGCTATTTTGTCAAGAAGGTCACCCAGGCTGGCGGAGTGTTCATATGGGAAAATTTTCAACCTGGTTACCGAGATCTCGGTCTCAAAAAGCGAGATCTCGGTAACCGGATCAGGCCGGCTTCTCATCTGAACACAAATTTTTACGAAGGAAAGAGTGGCGAGGCGAGATCTCGGAAACCAGGCCAGCCCGGTTGATCAGGCTCGCATATGAAGTGGCCCTAAAAGTCACAAAATTATATGTTTACAGACACAGAAGGATTAATTAAGGATTATAAACTCGACAAACAAGATACACTGTGCGAACACCTTTAACTTATGCTCTCACCATAGTCGTAACGTCTGCTGGCATACAAGTTGTAATCAGTGGGTTGTCTGTCTTCGCATGAATTATGGTTTACAATCTCTATGTAATTGGATAAAAGAATAAATAGTTAACATAGGTAATTAATAAAGCGTATTGATTTGATAGTTAAATAATCCTGTGAATTATATATAGATCCACTTAAATCTGACCCTGTGAGCCATTTTAGGATACAGCAAAGGTTTTTGGTTACTGTGGTTTTGCGTTCGCAGAAGGTGACAAGTTCAAAATTGAAAAATAATTTCGGTCTAATTTTGCAAAATATTGAAACACGGAACTACGTGAACTTAAATGTATAAACAGTACGATATGAAATTACTGCTAAATAAGCCTTTTATTTGAATGGTTACACAAACGAGTTAGGGATTCATCCAAAGTCAGAGCCACCTTGTACAACATAATAGACAGTAGCATATGAAGGTACTGCTCAACAGCTCATTTTCAACCGTAAAAAGTCACAAAGAACGGTTTTATCCACAGAATTAAATGTTGGCAGCGTTGTAGCGTTGCTTAACAGGTTTCATTTGAATGGCCACACGGTTCCCCCATTTGAGTCTTTCTCAGATAGAAGCATATTAATTCTGTAAACGTTTGAGTAACAATTCACGAAGGGTTATTCAAATTTACGATGTGCATTGCCTTGGGGTAGGAAAAATATGTGATATTGTTTTAAGTTTAAATTGCAGTGCTTGGTAAAAATACTTTCAATTACTAAATATTTTTTTTATTCGAGAATGTAGAACATTTCTTGTCTCTTAAGACACGCAGTTATTTTCGGAAGAACTATTGTAGCTATTTGGCAACTTCAGGCGGGTTGCCAAAAACTTCAGGGAAGTGCGCTGTTTCAAGTGTGGGTGGCGGTTGGTTCTTACACAGAGGAAATACTCCATAAGTTTACAGAACAAAACTGCAATTATGAAGGCGTGGTTTCCTATCAACGTAACAATATGACGTTGATAGTAAATAGAGCTTCAACAAATTTTCAAGAATACGTGTTTAGGGGTTGTGTCGAAATGGCAGTTTCAAGAGATAATTAAAAGAGTGTTTTGTTTCATCGTGACTCGGTTCTCGACTGATCTATGAAAGGAGTTTACACTTTATTATGAGATATTGAAACTCTTGATCGCTCATTGGTTGATCGCGACCAAAGAGGACCAATAAAAAACAATGATGACAAATGATGGAAGAGTAAATGAAATAATTTAGGTCAGAGCTGTGTCTTGTAAGACAAGGCCGAGGAATTATCCCTATCAACGAAGGAAAATCAAATATTACTCGACGTGGTTCTTAGTGTTTGTTAAAAGAGCCACAGAGAAAAAATAAATTCATTGTGGCCAAAATGCAAACTAACGGAATCGAACAAACAGGGCTGAAACTATTTTCAAACGTGAAGCGAGCGGATATTTTTGACCTTTGTTGCCGAGAGCTATTACATGCAGCCTGAAGCACGCGTAATTCATCACGTATTTTAAGTGCCGTCTCGATCCTTTTCATTGATAAACCATCCTCACAGGATGTGAACGGTTAGCAGTAAGCCAGACTAATCCCTATATATCGTTCAAAACGATGAATTTAATTTTTCCGCTTTTAAAGCCAGCTAAGAAAACAAATTTAGCAACGATTATTAAAAAGGTTTTGCCAGTAGAAGTTTCTCGAACAGTTCTTACTTGCCAAAACAACTTAACCAAATTTCGGACTTACACAAGTATAGGACTACTATCTTGCGAAAATTTCATCTTTTTACGGTACTCTTTCAAATTATTTACGGTCGATTGCTATCATTTGTTTGGTTTCAAGGCAATACTTGTAACAGAAGAAGCTTTGCCACCGACTGAGTAATTAAAAAACTCAGTTATTCATGTAAATCAGTCTTATGATTAGTAACGTTGATTAGATTACATGTAAAAGTTACAATGGCTTGGCTGCAATAATCATACATCATTTAAAATCGGCTAAAGCAGTAACTCAGTGGATAAAGAAGATTATTACATAACAACTGGACACTTACTTGTAGGCTTCGAGACTGTGACGAAGGAGTCCGGCTGGACACACACATTGTCTGAGAACTCGGGCAGTTCTTCACACTTCACAACTTTTTCCCAGGCCTCTACTGGTATAACTTCTGCACAGTCCGTCCTAATCTGTTTACACAAGGATCGGCATGGCTTAATGACTTTCTCCTCCTCGATTCCTGGTAAACATATCGGCAGGTAAAACGAACACATAAAAAACACAGCGTGTTTGGAACAGTTTGCGCGTTGTACCAGCGATCTGTACAACTCTATCGACCTGTTCGCCAAGGCTTGGCTCTGGTCACCGACTGCATTTGGAAAACGAGTTAGGTTGTACGGTAGAACACGGCGGCAAAGAGGTATGGAGATTTTCTCGCACTTTTGAGGAAGATCAAAGCGAAATCCATCTGCTGTATGAAAAGATATAGCGAGCATTACCAAAAGCCAAGCGTACAACATCTTGCAGCATACGCGAGTTCCTCCTCAGAAACAACCCGTGTGCTTTGAAGGATAGTCTATCTTTCGCCCGTTTGGCCGATGTCTTATATAAGCGTTTAGCTTAGTAAGGTATTTCAATTACGCTTGAGTAAAGAACTTTAAGCCGGATAATCAATGAGAGTGTTTTTCAACCAGACAGATTTCCCCTTAACCTTTGCTCTGTTCGGAGCAGTTCGGATTATAGATTTAAAAAATGTCGGTCTCTGTGCGTTGTCTGAGCTTAAGAAAGGTTTGTGCAAATCCCATCAAATAGTCAAGGCAGTGAATAAAGACAAGCATTTTCCTCTCTTAGAGGTCGCCTCGCTCAAACATGGCGGGAAACGGATGAGACCACACCGCGTATGAAATCTGTACGAAGCGCTGGCGGAGATGGATTTAATGATTATCCTACGTATCTGGTAAAGCCGGTACGTCTATTGAGCACTGTTTAACTTTGACAGATGCTTGTAAGGCACACTTCGTAAACGCTACACGTGGCTAAGATTCCACTGACTTTCGTTTTCCGGGGCATTGGAATATTTTGAAAATTCTTTTCAGCACCTACTGTAGTGATTAGGTCGTTGTTAATTCTTGGATTACGATTGTAATTTCTAACGAAGGGACAAAGAGAGTGAAGCGTGCAAAGCCATGAAAAAGAACCTCTTGGCTTATAGTAAGAATACTGAAGGAAGGCGATCGATTTTTAACGATATTTCATCGACTTATATGAGGATCACTTCGTCTCAAAAGGGGATTAACAGCAATTTGGGTTATCTTGTCTTTCCGGCCATGCGCTTAAACAAAGCGCTTTCTTAGCTTAGCATTTACAAAAAGTACATACATATTTTCAATTTTAAATTCAACAAAATGCAATCGATAACCAAACACAACAAATTTAATTGCATCATTGTCATAAAGATTGCAAAGACGGGTCTGTAAAGTTCACTATCTTATTCGTCCCACCTCCTGTCAGTTTTATCATTGTTACAACTAAAGGAATTTTTGCTTGGCGAGTTCATGTTATTTTCTGAAAAATTCTGAAAAGTCAATTCCATGATCAGTTGGAACACTTGCCAAGTTTTCGTGCATAGAAACGATCTATTTTCCGCTTTGATTCTGACGGCAAATGAAAAAAATTCCCATCTGAGAACCGTGCAGACTGAAGGAAGACTCATTTGTTAATAGTCGCATCATGTGTTAACCCTATATGCCTACTGACATTTGAAGTTCTGAATACTGGCACGCGGAGTATGCAAGCATTTTTTCCCGAAGTTGATCATAGATGCCCAATTTTGGAAGCTATATCTCTCTTCTGTGACAGCGGCCTGTAACTGAAAGAGTTTGAACCTTCAGTCGGTTAGCTTTTTTGTGAGAAAATATGGTTGTACGGTTTCACGATTTGTCGCCTATGTTTAAAGTTTCGTCAAGCGTTGAACAAAGTCAATGTAAGACAAACAAAATTTCAAGAATAATTTTAAAAAATTACGACAGAACCATTCAACAGTTTTTGGGGCGCGTTAAAAACTCTAAAGTCGTGCTGACAAGATGAAGGTTCAGGCCCGACAGAGAAGATATGTTTTCGTTCCAGTTGACCCGATAAACATGCAGTGTATTATCTTTAGGATTTAAATGCCGCTTGGCAAGAAAAAACAGACATCCAGTTGATTATCACTAGTTTTACCAGGCTGGCAAATAAACACCTGGGTTTTCAGACTAAGATAGCAATTGAGACAGTTTACGACCCACAGATCTAAACAAACCAGCCGCTCTCACGCAACCCAATTCAGTGTAACATGACAGCTTGAAAATCAAACAGATCCGATGGATATCTTAGAAAGAATTTTCGACATTTCTTATTTCTCATATGCATGCTTCACAGTTGTAAAATGTTTACCATTTTCAAGATGGCAATTTTGCTTAGAAAAATTAGGATAACATCACGCTAGTCATTATCGGTCAATTTTCTCTACACGGACACAATCATCCGATCTCCAGAAACTGGCAGAAAACTGTCATGAAAATTCAGATCGTTCATATAAATGTTCTTTTCAGTACAAGGAAAATCCATCCTCGGACGTAGTTTCGAGCTAATAGCAACATTGCAAAATAAAGAAAACTTGATCGTGCACAGCAATTTCATTATCAGCTATTAGTTTATTTAATTTTTTAGACGCCCTGTAAAAAAAAAGCTGTACTCCTGATTTTATAACTAGACTATGAGCCCGAGATTTCTATCGCGCCGGAGTCAAGTATCAAGCGATAGAAATCGAGAGCGAATAATCTAGTCTAAGTCTACTAGTCGTTCAAAACTTTATCTAAATTCTCTTCAAAGACACTTCGAAGACGCAAAGAAGCGGCCGCCATTTGTTAACAACCACACTTCAGTCTAGGCTACTCGCTATTTCTACAGGTAGCGTAGATCGTGACATATCACTAGTACATGCCCACTTATTACAGTCATTTACCAAGACAGAAAAACAGAACTAGCACGATCTGTTGACGTATACGTAATGACGGCACGCGGAAGAGAGAAAATTTACAATTGAATAATGCGAATTTTCCGCGTTCTTTTCAGGTACTGTTTTTTAAAAACAAATTGAAAATATTACCTCCGTATTTCTATCGTGTCATAAACACTCGTAGACTTTTTTGATAATTTAAAAATGCAGCGGAGACGTCTCACCTGGGCCTCGTCACGGTGTTCTCGCAATATTTCTCGTTCTCTCAAACGTCCAATTTACAAGTCCTTAATTGACTTCATGAAGCTAAACATCATTTTCTCTTGCCGCTAAAACAATGCTGTAAATTCACCCCAAACTGGCAACTAAGTGAACAGTTTTGTCTTTTCTTCACTGTGGCTCAGTTGTGGACTGCTACTGACGTCTGAACACTGGGAATGTGGCTCACTCGACTGGTAAGATAAGCCAAGGCTTCCTGACTATTCTAGAAACAGTTCAACGGCAGCCAGCGAACAACCATCAGTACGGATTATTAAATGATAGCATTTTCCAACATTCTAGTAAGTTACGATGGAGGGAGAAAGAACTAATTTAAGTTTAATAAAATCGGTTTGCTTCGTGCCTTGCAGTGGGTGACTGGGTAGTCATAAAAGTTCCGAGCAATTCGCATAGCGATTTTTTTTCTCTCTCTCCCTTCTTTACGGATGAAAATTTTCGAGTCTGCTTGTAGCTGTCGGTTCCCGGGAAAAGCTTCGTAGCCAAAATATGCCTTGAACCAAAAACAGTTGTTACAAGTTGTCACCGACCATAGATCAGAATTACACAAAATTACATATAAACGCTCGCTCTCATACAATCGCGTATGCCTCGGGTTTAGCTTTCAACCCCCGGCGCTCCACGTTTTTCTCCAGCCGACATTCTCCATTCTCCTGCCTTCTCAGAAACACTGAACTCCCAGTCCTGTCTGAGGTTGTACAATTGATCTTTCAATTGCAAGACTGTTTAATATTCTCCCTCATGAACAAAGTTAATTAATTGATTTATTTTCGTAATTATTTAGAGATCGCTTGAACGTTCNCCACACGGTTCCCCCATTTGAGTCTTTCTCAGATAGAAGCATATTAATTCTGTAAACGTTTGAGTAACAATTCACGAAGGGTTATTCAAATTTACGATGTGCATTGCCTTGGGGTAGGAAAAATATGTGATATTGTTTTAAGTTTAAATTGCAGTGCTTGGTAAAAATACTTTCAATTACTAAATATTTTTTTTATTCGAGAATGTAGAACATTTCTTGTCTCTTAAGACACGCAGTTATTTTCGGAAGAACTATTGTAGCTATTTGGCAACTTCAGGCGGGTTGCCAAAAACTTCAGGGAAGTGCGCTGTTTCAAGTGTGGGTGGCGGTTGGTTCTTACACAGAGGAAATACTCCATAAGTTTACAGAACAAAACTGCAATTATGAAGGCGTGGTTTCCTATCAACGTAACAATATGACGTTGATAGTAAATAGAGCTTCAACAAATTTTCAAGAATACGTGTTTAGGGGTTGTGTCGAAATGGCAGTTTCAAGAGATAATTAAAAGAGTGTTTTGTTTCATCGTGACTCGGTTCTCGACTGATCTATGAAAGGAGTTTACACTTTATTATGAGATATTGAAACTCTTGATCGCTCATTGGTTGATCGCGACCAAAGAGGACCAATAAAAAACAATGATGACAAATGATGGAAGAGTAAATGAAATAATTTAGGTCAGAGCTGTGTCTTGTAAGACAAGGCCGAGGAATTATCCCTATCAACGAAGGAAAATCAAATATTACTCGACGTGGTTCTTAGTGTTTGTTAAAAGAGCCACAGAGAAAAAATAAATTCATTGTGGCCAAAATGCAAACTAACGGAATCGAACAAACAGGGCTGAAACTATTTTCAAACGTGAAGCGAGCGGATATTTTTGACCTTTGTTGCCGAGAGCTATTACATGCAGCCTGAAGCACGCGTAATTCATCACGTATTTTAAGTGCCGTCTCGATCCTTTTCATTGATAAACCATCCTCACAGGATGTGAACGGTTAGCAGTAAGCCAGACTAATCCCTATATATCGTTCAAAACGATGAATTTAATTTTTCCGCTTTTAAAGCCAGCTAAGAAAACAAATTTAGCAACGATTATTAAAAAGGTTTTGCCAGTAGAAGTTTCTCGAACAGTTCTTACTTGCCAAAACAACTTAACCAAATTTCGGACTTACACAAGTATAGGACTACTATCTTGCGAAAATTTCATCTTTTTACGGTACTCTTTCAAATTATTTACGGTCGATTGCTATCATTTGTTTGGTTTCAAGGCAATACTTGTAACAGAAGAAGCTTTGCCACCGACTGAGTAATTAAAAAACTCAGTTATTCATGTAAATCAGTCTTATGATTAGTAACGTTGATTAGATTACATGTAAAAGTTACAATGGCTTGGCTGCAATAATCATACATCATTTAAAATCGGCTAAAGCAGTAACTCAGTGGATAAAGAAGATTATTACATAACAACTGGACACTTACTTGTAGGCTTCGAGACTGTGACGAAGGAGTCCGGCTGGACACACACATTGTCTGAGAACTCGGGCAGTTCTTCACACTTCACAACTTTTTCCCAGGCCTCTACTGGTATAACTTCTGCACAGTCCGTCCTAATCTGTTTACACAAGGATCGGCATGGCTTAATGACTTTCTCCTCCTCGATTCCTGGTAAACATATCGGCAGGTAAAACGAACACATAAAAAACACAGCGTGTTTGGAACAGTTTGCGCGTTGTACCAGCGATCTGTACAACTCTATCGACCTGTTCGCCAAGGCTTGGCTCTGGTCACCGACTGCATTTGGAAAACGAGTTAGGTTGTACGGTAGAACACGGCGGCAAAGAGGTATGGAGATTTTCTCGCACTTTTGAGGAAGATCAAAGCGAAATCCATCTGCTGTATGAAAAGATATAGCGAGCATTACCAAAAGCCAAGCGTACAACATCTTGCAGCATACGCGAGTTCCTCCTCAGAAACAACCCGTGTGCTTTGAAGGATAGTCTATCTTTCGCCCGTTTGGCCGATGTCTTATATAAGCGTTTAGCTTAGTAAGGTATTTCAATTACGCTTGAGTAAAGAACTTTAAGCCGGATAATCAATGAGAGTGTTTTTCAACCAGACAGATTTCCCCTTAACCTTTGCTCTGTTCGGAGCAGTTCGGATTATAGATTTAAAAAATGTCGGTCTCTGTGCGTTGTCTGAGCTTAAGAAAGGTTTGTGCAAATCCCATCAAATAGTCAAGGCAGTGAATAAAGACAAGCATTTTCCTCTCTTAGAGGTCGCCTCGCTCAAACATGGCGGGAAACGGATGAGACCACACCGCGTATGAAATCTGTACGAAGCGCTGGCGGAGATGGATTTAATGATTATCCTACGTATCTGGTAAAGCCGGTACGTCTATTGAGCACTGTTTAACTTTGACAGATGCTTGTAAGGCACACTTCGTAAACGCTACACGTGGCTAAGATTCCACTGACTTTCGTTTTCCGGGGCATTGGAATATTTTGAAAATTCTTTTCAGCACCTACTGTAGTGATTAGGTCGTTGTTAATTCTTGGATTACGATTGTAATTTCTAACGAAGGGACAAAGAGAGTGAAGCGTGCAAAGCCATGAAAAAGAACCTCTTGGCTTATAGTAAGAATACTGAAGGAAGGCGATCGATTTTTAACGATATTTCATCGACTTATATGAGGATCACTTCGTCTCAAAAGGGGATTAACAGCAATTTGGGTTATCTTGTCTTTCCGGCCATGCGCTTAAACAAAGCGCTTTCTTAGCTTAGCATTTACAAAAAGTACATACATATTTTCAATTTTAAATTCAACAAAATGCAATCGATAACCAAACACAACAAATTTAATTGCATCATTGTCATAAAGATTGCAAAGACGGGTCTGTAAAGTTCACTATCTTATTCGTCCCACCTCCTGTCAGTTTTATCATTGTTACAACTAAAGGAATTTTTGCTTGGCGAGTTCATGTTATTTTCTGAAAAATTCTGAAAAGTCAATTCCATGATCAGTTGGAACACTTGCCAAGTTTTCGTGCATAGAAACGATCTATTTTCCGCTTTGATTCTGACGGCAAATGAAAAAAATTCCCATCTGAGAACCGTGCAGACTGAAGGAAGACTCATTTGTTAATAGTCGCATCATGTGTTAACCCTATATGCCTACTGACATTTGAAGTTCTGAATACTGGCACGCGGAGTATGCAAGCATTTTTTCCCGAAGTTGATCATAGATGCCCAATTTTGGAAGCTATATCTCTCTTCTGTGACAGCGGCCTGTAACTGAAAGAGTTTGAACCTTCAGTCGGTTAGCTTTTTTGTGAGAAAATATGGTTGTACGGTTTCACGATTTGTCGCCTATGTTTAAAGTTTCGTCAAGCGTTGAACAAAGTCAATGTAAGACAAACAAAATTTCAAGAATAATTTTAAAAAATTACGACAGAACCATTCAACAGTTTTTGGGGCGCGTTAAAAACTCTAAAGTCGTGCTGACAAGATGAAGGTTCAGGCCCGACAGAGAAGATATGTTTTCGTTCCAGTTGACCCGATAAACATGCAGTGTATTATCTTTAGGATTTAAATGCCGCTTGGCAAGAAAAAACAGACATCCAGTTGATTATCACTAGTTTTACCAGGCTGGCAAATAAACACCTGGGTTTTCAGACTAAGATAGCAATTGAGACAGTTTACGACCCACAGATCTAAACAAACCAGCCGCTCTCACGCAACCCAATTCAGTGTAACATGACAGCTTGAAAATCAAACAGATCCGATGGATATCTTAGAAAGAATTTTCGACATTTCTTATTTCTCATATGCATGCTTCACAGTTGTAAAATGTTTACCATTTTCAAGATGGCAATTTTGCTTAGAAAAATTAGGATAACATCACGCTAGTCATTATCGGTCAATTTTCTCTACACGGACACAATCATCCGATCTCCAGAAACTGGCAGAAAACTGTCATGAAAATTCAGATCGTTCATATAAATGTTCTTTTCAGTACAAGGAAAATCCATCCTCGGACGTAGTTTCGAGCTAATAGCAACATTGCAAAATAAAGAAAACTTGATCGTGCACAGCAATTTCATTATCAGCTATTAGTTTATTTAATTTTTTAGACGCCCTGTAAAAAAAAAGCTGTACTCCTGATTTTATAACTAGACTATGAGCCCGAGATTTCTATCGCGCCGGAGTCAAGTATCAAGCGATAGAAATCGAGAGCGAATAATCTAGTCTAAGTCTACTAGTCGTTCAAAACTTTATCTAAATTCTCTTCAAAGACACTTCGAAGACGCAAAGAAGCGGCCGCCATTTGTTAACAACCACACTTCAGTCTAGGCTACTCGCTATTTCTACAGGTAGCGTAGATCGTGACATATCACTAGTACATGCCCACTTATTACAGTCATTTACCAAGACAGAAAAACAGAACTAGCACGATCTGTTGACGTATACGTAATGACGGCACGCGGAAGAGAGAAAATTTACAATTGAATAATGCGAATTTTCCGCGTTCTTTTCAGGTACTGTTTTTTAAAAACAAATTGAAAATATTACCTCCGTATTTCTATCGTGTCATAAACACTCGTAGACTTTTTTGATAATTTAAAAATGCAGCGGAGACGTCTCACCTGGGCCTCGTCACGGTGTTCTCGCAATATTTCTCGTTCTCTCAAACGTCCAATTTACAAGTCCTTAATTGACTTCATGAAGCTAAACATCATTTTCTCTTGCCGCTAAAACAATGCTGTAAATTCACCCCAAACTGGCAACTAAGTGAACAGTTTTGTCTTTTCTTCACTGTGGCTCAGTTGTGGACTGCTACTGACGTCTGAACACTGGGAATGTGGCTCACTCGACTGGTAAGATAAGCCAAGGCTTCCTGACTATTCTAGAAACAGTTCAACGGCAGCCAGCGAACAACCATCAGTACGGATTATTAAATGATAGCATTTTCCAACATTCTAGTAAGTTACGATGGAGGGAGAAAGAACTAATTTAAGTTTAATAAAATCGGTTTGCTTCGTGCCTTGCAGTGGGTGACTGGGTAGTCATAAAAGTTCCGAGCAATTCGCATAGCGATTTTTTTTCTCTCTCTCCCTTCTTTACGGATGAAAATTTTCGAGTCTGCTTGTAGCTGTCGGTTCCCGGGAAAAGCTTCGTAGCCAAAATATGCCTTGAACCAAAAACAGTTGTTACAAGTTGTCACCGACCATAGATCAGAATTACACAAAATTACATATAAACGCTCGCTCTCATACAATCGCGTATGCCTCGGGTTTAGCTTTCAACCCCCGGCGCTCCACGTTTTTCTCCAGCCGACATTCTCCATTCTCCTGCCTTCTCAGAAACACTGAACTCCCAGTCCTGTCTGAGGTTGTACAATTGATCTTTCAATTGCAAGACTGTTTAATATTCTCCCTCATGAACAAAGTTAATTAATTGATTTATTTTCGTAATTATTTAGAGATCGCTTGAACGTTCTCATTCAAGAGGTGCTACCACACTTCCTATAAATGATCCCCGTAGAATGTGAAATTAAAAAGCGAATAAAAAAAACTATCCATACCTGAGATGGACAAAGCAATTATTTACTGCCAACACACTAGACATTAATACTAAGGAACTAGAAAATTATTCAAATCCTTAAAGAGACTGAAATAAATTTTATTTTTGTAAAATTTTGCTACATGCTTCAACTTCAGTCCTTAAACTGTGCAGTAGAATTCAGGCCTAAGTGTTTCATAACCGCACATGGAAGTTCAAGTGCTGCAAGCTTATAAGTCTTATTCTAAACTGATGGATGATGGATGTACAAAGTTTATGTTTCGCTTCGCTCTATAATTAAGTGTTACGAGTAAATTAGTAATATCAAGCTTTCATTGGTCACCTTGGCAGTTCTGGGAATCAAAGACCACTCAATTATGCAATGCAAAGTATGTCAGTGACGTTTGATTCTCGTGGCCGTGCAATAAGTGTTAAATCGTAAAATAACTTCTAAGGGGATCAGTCTTTATCTCATTTATTTTTCACGCACTGGGATCTGTCCTGCTGATCAACTTTCTTCTCGACATACCATCTATCTCATTCTAACTCAGCTGCAAGCACGAAATCATTACTGGTGTTTAAACTATGTCTATGATGTGCATCAACTGACGGCAAATATTGAAAGCAAATTCAGTCTTGAGCTCGATTTTTGTTTGATGTTTTATATGTCTGTTGCGAATGAATAACGGAGTAGATTATTCAGTTGTTAATCCCTCCAAACAGTAATGAAACACGTATTGCTCTTTCAAACTAAGTGAATGCCACTTAATTGTTCCGTAAATTAACGTCGTCTTATTTAAACGCTAGTTCCTGGTGCTGCAAGAAGACTAGAAACTGTAGTTACCGATTCAAAACGTCCGTGCAACCACTAACTATGGTGCAACACAATTCACGCCTTTTATAGACTTAACAGTTTTTCTATTGGCTCTATATGTCTGCGTTCGATGGGGAAGGGATTTTAGCGTCCTAATTGTATCGACATGAAACTTAATTAACAACTCCGTCACTGAACTACGTTCAAATCAATTCTGTTTTCTGTAAATTTTTTTCCTTATATTTTTGGAAGAGTTTTATTCTGTTAACTCCTAACCTAATATCTATTCACGATAGCTGGGGAATCTTAGCTTTNAAGCTCACTTTTATTCAACTATATTCTTTTGCCATAGTTCATGATGTAAGATTTATTTTGCAGGAATTCAAACAATCTAGCAATCTTAAAACAGATTTAAAAGATTAAAATGATTCACGGTTATTGCCTCTTGAGAATGGTGCTTAGCTTACTTCAATACTTGCCCCAGAATGACATTTTAAGAAGATTCGCGTAACTGGCCAACGGAAATGCCTTAAACGGGGGTTTACTGAAGATCTGAGAGGCCCGGCATT